GGGGTGCCCGCCAGCATGGTGGGGGTGTCTTTGGGGTCCTTGGGGTGCCTGCCAGCTGGGGTGGGGGTGTCCCTGGAGCACATGGGGTGCCTGCCAGCCTGGGTGGGGGGTCCCTGGGATGCCTGCTAGCTGGGTTGGAGGGGTTTTTGGGGTGCCTTCCAGCCAAGGCAGGGGGTCCCTGGGGTGCCCGCTGTCCTGGGTGTGGGGTCTCTGGGTCATATGGGGTGCTCTCCAGCTGGGGCAGGTGGTCCCTGGGTGTCCACCAGACTGGGCATAAGGTCCCTGGGGTGCCCAGTGTGCCCCCCCAACAAGGGCAGGGGTTCCCTGGGGTGCACGGTGCACCCACCAGCCAGGACTGGGGGGCCCACGGGAGACGTGGGGGCTGTCCCAGTGTCCCCCCCTGCCCCAGGGTGGGCACTGGGTGACAGTGGCCGCATCCTGGCGTAGGTGGTGCTGTCACGGCAGTACGGCTCTGAAGGACGGTTCACCTTCACCTCCCACACACCGGGCGAGCACCAGATCTGCCTCCACTCCAACTCCACCCGCATGGCGCTCTTCGCCGGTGGCAAACTGGTAATTGCGGGGTCGGGGGGGACAGGACGGGACACCCCCCAAAACCGGGGGGGGGGGGGTGTCAGTGGTAGCGGGGGTCTGCTGACGTGTGTGTGTCCCACTTCTTGGCCCCGCAGCGGGTGCACCTGGACATCCAGGTGGGTGAACACACCAACAACTACCCCGAAATCGCTGCAAAGGACAAGCTGACGGAGCTGCAGCTCCGCGCCCGCCAGCTCCTCGACCAGGTCGAGCAGATCCAGAAGGAGCAAAACTACCAACGGGTGAGGAGGGGGCTCCAGTGGGGGGGGTAAAACCGTTTTTCTCCCCCCCTCCAAACCCCCATGACACCCCCCCCATTTATTTTTGTTTCTTTGACCGACAGTACCGGGAGGAGCGTTTCCGCATGACGAGCGAGAGCACCAACCAGCGGGTGCTGTGGTGGTCCATCGCCCAAACCATCATCCTCATCCTCACCGGCATTTGGCAGATGAGGCACCTCAAGAGCTTCTTTGAGGCCAAAAAGCTGGTGTAGCCCCCCCTTACCCCACCGGGAC